TATATATATATATATATAGTCTTAATTTTATACATAAAATGAGATTTAAAACTAAGGTACATGACTAGAGCCTGTAGCTCCTAGCCCTCGTCACGTGGTTCTGCTCGTTATGCATCTTAGAACTCATTCTCGTAACTTACTTCTAAAACTGACTCTGTCCTAAGGGACTCTAAAAGTACATATAGAAAGTAACAAAAGGACGACCTACAAAACAGAGGGGTTAGCACAGGTTAAAGGCAAACAACGTGATGAGCCATGTCAGGCGAGAGGAGAGCTAAGCAGCACCTACAGAAACTATGTTAGATAAAAATTATTAGAACTCCTCCATGTTGGACATGACTCCCTGAAAGAAGAAGAAGATTGCCCCTGAAAGAAAATGATGTCTGCCCAAATGGTCAACCCATGGTCAAATGGGCAACCCATGATCAAATAGTCAACCGTAAACCACCATGGTCAACCCATGGTCATAAGGTCAATTTTTCATTCTCCAAATTAATTAATGAATTAATTAATTAGTTAGAATGAATTTAAGATCCATTAGCTTTAAGTATAAACCCTAAAACCCTAGCCATGGGCAGGGTTTTAGGTAGACGTAGGTATAAAGTAAGCCTCTAGTACCCTAAGTGCACTAGACGACCAATTAAGTAGAAATATATGATGAGTCAGTCGGGTTGAAGAAGAATAGGAACTTCTCCTCGAAACATACAATATGATACAGTTTTCTACACAAGTCCTAAGCATGGAGGCCATATTAATATGAATTGGGTGAAAGGAATGCAATGCAACCCATTTAAAATCTGGCTCGAATGTCATGTAGGAAAGAAAATACATATTTTAAAAATCTTGAAATGTTTTAATCTAAAATTTTTATTAGTCTTAATCTTTCATTTGGATTTTGAATAAGGTTTATAATTTTTATGTCCTAGAGAGTCTAATTTATATTCACATAGTTCCCAGACACTCCAAGAGCCAAAAAGGGTGAAACCAAGTCAAGCACGGTGCAAAAAAGAACAAAATGAATAAGAGAATGTCGAGTGTCGTTGGATCGGCAACATAACTTAAGAAGAAAAAGACAGTCGAGCACTGCATATATATATATATATATATTGAAGTTTATGAATTAGTATATATATATATATATAGTCTTAATTTTATACATAAAATGAGATTTAAAACTAAGGTACATGACTAGAGCCTGTAGCTCCTAGCCCTCGTCACGTGGTTCTGCTCGTTATGCATCTTAGAACTCATTCTCGTAACTTACTTCTAAAACTGACTCTGTCCTAAGGGACTCTAAAAGTACATATAGAAAGTAACAAAAGGACGACCTACAAAACAGAGGGGTTAGCACAGGTTAAAGGCAAACAACGTGATGAGCTATGCCAGGCGAGAGGAGAGCTAAGCAGCACCTTCAGAAACTATGTTAGATAAAAATTATTAGAACTCCTCCATGTTGGACATGACTCCCTGAAAGAAGAAGAAGTTTGCCCCTGAAAGAAAATGATGTCTGCCCAAATGGTCAACCCATGATCAAATAGTCAACCGTAAACCACCATGGTCAGCCCATGGTCATAAGGTCAATTTTTCATTCTCCAAATTAATTAATGAATTAATTAATTAGTTAGAATGAATTTAAGATTCTATTAACTTTAAGTATAAACCCTAAAAACCTAGCCCTAAAGCTTAAAGTCCAAGGCTTTAGCCCATGGTCCAAGCCCATGGTCTAAGCCCATGGTTCAAGCCCATCCAATAATGCTTCATCCTTAACCTAAGATAACCTATTAGGTTATATGATGACTCATACCCTACCAATTTTCCAAATAAAACCAAAATGAGAAATAAAAGAATAAGAAAGGACAAGTGACGTTATGTCTACCTACCCTTTCTCATACTTGGCATCTAAGTTCAATTAACCGAAGTCTCTTCATGCTCGTGTCAAGGAACACTTCTATCAAGCCCAACAAATCCCTCTTAAGCTCTCCTTAATGTCTCCAAGCCATGAATACCCTCTCTCCTCTCCAATGGAGCTCATATGATAAAAACCTCCAGAGATTGGAATTACTACACTAAATCCTCCCCATGCTCTGCAAACCTCTTTGAGGTGTTACAAGAACTCCTTCATGCCACATTTGGCCTCTTCCTTACCCTCCCATGGCCAAAAAAAGGGCAAACCCGAGAGCCATGCAAGAGGAGAAAACCCTTTACACAGTTCCTAAAACCATTGGCTCCCAAGACAAAAATCTTCCCCTTGGCCTAGGCAATTGAAACCCTTTACTACCAACCCTTGACCATGTCCACAAAACCATAATTTTCCAACCCACATCGAGGACAAATTTCAAGTGTGACATAAACCCTACCAAAAATACAAACCAATCCTCCCAAAAGCTTCTCTAAGCTTTACGAAGACATTCCCAAACAAAATTAAGACTCCCTAAGCCCTCTAACCCAGTTCAAGACCAAACTGAGTCATCTTTTGGTTTAGCTCATAATTAGGGCCGATTTCACTTCAAATTGAACCAAGAACATGCCTTGTGAGGTCCACGCAATTGTGTCGGTCAAGCCCAATCGATGTCACACAGATCTTGGGATAAGGTATAGATCGAAAACCCTATAAATTACCTGGGTTATGGTCTTTTGTGAAAGAGATAAACTTACCATAGTTGATCAACCATATAGACGTGTTCATCTTGGTTAGATAAAGCTTTAGAAACAAATCTCGTAAGATTTCATGAACAATCAAAGAAAATATTGTGATTTTATCATGAACGAACTTCATGTAATTGTCTCATGGGGATGATGAACCGACGACATCCATTTATGTGTATCTGAAATGGACGGCATTGATCGAGTCAAACCTTCGAGATGTCCATACGAATGAGACTAAACCGCGGGTCAACTTGGATGACAGCCTGGAAAGTGCATCCCATTCAAACATGCCACACACGCATTCGGAGCTGTCGAGAATGATGGGGCGCCGCGTCGAATAAGTAGTTAATTAATAATTTTTGAATTAATCAAATTTAGAAAACCCTAATAAACTTATCTCTACCTAGAAAAATCCAAAAAATAAAATAAAAATACCTCTGAATTCGGTGAACATAGGAGAAAATAGTTAAAATAAAAATAAAAATAAATAGTTTATATTTAATGTTTAATAAATTAAATACTCTAATGAGTATTTCAATTATCAAAAATTAAATATAAATCTAAAATTCATGAAATTTGTAGGGATTATTCCCCCACTCATGAAAGTATTCTCAGATTTTTTTCAAAGTCAGAAGATAACCCTAAAATGAATACAATAAAATTAGGACAAACAATAAGAAGAACGCCTATTTTTTTTTTATTCTCTCAAAGAAGGTGCGAATAGCAGAAAAAAAGGAAAAGGGCATAATCGTCCTCAGCCGAGGCATTTTCTTACTTCCTTTCCCACACATTTTTCTCATTTTGTGATTTGTGGAGGTGGAAGTATGTAAAACGCCTCCACAAGAGACAATTTATGTGATAAATGTATGAATTGCCTCCACAAGAGCATTTTATTCCCATCAGCTTCCATATATATATAACCTTCGTCTCCTCCATGGGCTTCACACCTTCATCCGCTTCAGACCTCCTACGCACATACGGACAGTCCGATCCATCTCGCATGCGGTGTCCGATCCTGATCGTAGATTACGGTGATCTACGGTCATGATTATTTCAATTTTTTTTTAAAAAAAAATTTATTTTCAATTTTTTTTTAAAAAAAAAATTTATGTGGGGCCCACCGAAATACATCCTGACCGTAGATCAGGTGATTTACGGTCAGGATATGCATGCAGTGTTCGATCGTATGAAATAATTTTTCCACTGACAGTAGCTGACGAAATAAAAAAGAAACAAAAAGGCCTCCGCTATATCACATCTGCTGTCTGTTTGTGCAGAATCCACACATAAAAATCTCCCCCTTCCCCGCACAACACTCTCATTCCCTCACTTCAACTAGCCTCTCTTTCTCTTAATCTTCTTTTAATTGATCTCAATTTTCTCACTAAATTTATTTTTCTAATTTAATTTTGTCTGTGCCATTTTTGGCCACCATTTTTAATTAGGATAAGTTTTCTCCACTGTGTTATCACATAATGTACATGTAAATATTATCTAATTTTTCTCCTTTTTGTTACTTGCACTACATCCAAACTATGCCCGTATTTTCTTATTTAGAAATTATTATTTAAAAAAAATATAATAATAATAATTATGCTGATTAAAAATGAGAATTTATATTTAATGTTTTGTAGTGTATTATTTCTATATTGATTTTTTTTTCTTGTAGAATTTAATAATAATAATTTAAAGATAGTATTGATCTATATATATAGTCTTGAAACCCGATGTCGTACGGTTAATGATTCATAGAAGTTGAAATAGTGCCTTAATATTGTGGTATAACAACATCACATACAAATCTTATCATTTTTTGAGAATTTGGATTATATTGAAAAATATTTTTTTGGGAATCTCGGTGTAGACACATTTGTATAGAGAATTAAATATGTCAAACAAGTCTAGATGTGTGTGTGTACATATATAATATAATATATATATATA